TCTACTGCTAGGAACCCTGCCACAGTCTGGCTGGGCACAAATGCCGCAGTCTGGCTGGGCACACAATCACGAGCCACCACACAGCTTGTAGATTCAAACAGCAACTCTTTATTCCCGAACTCACACCAGCCGTCTACAATCACGTTCTGGGGAAATCCACGTTCTCTGCCCAAATCCACCTCCACTGGGCTTCTATCTCTCAAAAAATACTCTGAATCCCGTGAGAACTCAAGGGGAACTCAGGCAGCAGGATACGCCCTATTCCCAGCAGGAATAATCTTAAACCTTAAACCTGGAACCTAAACTGGGAACGCCCTAAACACGATTATCTTAAACCGGGAACACCCTAATCCGCCTTGGTCCTTGAGCAAGGTCACCTACATTCAATGTCACTGCAACATGGGGTACGCTGGCAAGGAAATTGTCATACCTACTTGGCTAATGGCTCCCAGCAGAACCCCATTTTACCCAGGCAGAAACTGAGCTACAAAATGTGTGTGTTTAGCATGAGAGAGAGTCTGGCTCTGGTCCCCTGAACCACAGGGGAAAAGAGAAAGAGAGAAATTCAGTGAGAGTGAAATGGAGAAATGTGCCCAGTGTTTTATCACTGGCCTCAAATACTGTGGTTGCCAATAAATACACACAGCTATGTGGCAAACGGCTTTGTCCCTGGGCATTCTAACCCATTACGCTATATTGCTTCTCATATATTTTGGTTCTCATTTCTTACTTGAATTTTCATCATGAGGGTGTATTGAGATGATGGTTTGATTCTAAAACTTTATTGAAATAATAATTCTATCATCTACTCAAGACAATTCACTCAACATTCTGAAAGGGGTTCTCAATGAACAGGGAGCTATCCTTATATTTGATCCATAATTTGAAGAATTCATCTCAGGGAGAGACATCAGGACAAACCCCCACATCTCCAATACTCACACTTACCCTGCTCTCTGATGATCCTACAAGGCCCCACATGTACTTTCTGTGATTCTCAAACTTCTTAATCTTGGGATCTCTTTGCACTCTTAAAAAAAATATTGAGGATCCCAAATTAGCATTTGTGTATTTAAATTATATCTATCGACATTTAAGATATTAATTGGGGGATTGGGGTTGTGGCTCAGTGGCAGAGCACTTGCCTGGCATGTGTGAGGCACTGAGTTTGATCCTCAGCACCACATATAAATAAATAAAAAATAAAGGTACATCAACAACTTAAAAATATTTAAAAATTTTTTTTAAAAAGATATTAATTGGGTGCAGTGGTGAACACCTATAATCCCAGCAGCTTGGAGGTTGAGTTAGGAGAATCACAAGTTCAAAGACAGCCTCAACAACTTAGCTGTCTCAAAATAAAAAATAAAAAAGTTCTGGGGATGCGGCTCAGTGATTAAGCACCCCTGAATTCAATCCCTGGTACACAAGAAGGAAGAAAAGATATTAGAAGTTAAAGCTGAGGAAAAAATATGATACTTATTCATTTAAAAACAACAATAATAAGCAGGTTACATGTTAACACAATAACATCTGTATGAAACTATTTGAAAAATAAAACAAAAATTTAATGAGAAGAATGGCATCATTTTACCTTTTTGCAAAGCTATTGATGCGCTATAATTATATATAGTAGTGGAACTCTGTGACATACTTGTACATGCACATAATACAAAGCTATTTCATGCTGGGTTCCACAGAAGACAGCTGGACCGTCATATCTGTTCTTGCATTTGGTCTGTTGTGATGAGTTATTTTGGTTGAAGCACATGAAGAAATTCTGTGAATAAGTAGGTTGCTATGCTGGACGCTGACCTAGGGGACAATGAGAGGAGCCTGCTCAAAGGGGTGACACACTGAAGGACCAGAAATGTGAAGGACCCATTCCTGCAAAGTCTCTGGAAACAGCATTCCAGACACCAGGCACAGCACTGCAAAGGCCCTGAGGCAGGAATATCTAGGCATTTTTTAAGAATGGAAGGAAAGATAAACTTCATACTGGTCCATTCTTTTTTTTTTTTTTTTTTTTTGGCTTTGCTTACTGCCCAAAGATACTTATTCCATTACATGACTTCAAGTCATCTGCTGCATACTATCCTTGGTTCACAAATGCTTTTCTTTAGCTGACCACGCCCCCCGACCACGCCCCCCCCACGCCTAAATTTCAGATTCACACCCCCAACCAATACCCAGCTCAGTTTAGGAATAAAGACCAACTAGAAATATCCAGCTCCACAATGACCCCAGCCCAGTTTCCAATAAATTTATCACTGATTGGGTGTTCCTTTCAGCACTGCAAAGCCTCAAAATAATCCTTGTCTTTTAATATTTCTTAGTTGAATAGGTGGACACGCTACCTTTATTTATTTTTATGTGGTGCTGAGGATCAAACCCAGTACCTCACACAGTGCCAGGCTCTACCACGGAGGTACAACCCCAACCCCAAGTTTTGGATATTTTATTTTGGGTTTTTCTATCCCATCAAGTCTAACAAAATATCATGTGTGTCTCCTGCTGTGTGGGTTAAGTGAATACACATATAACCATTGTTTTTTTCACTTTCAGTGTTCAGAAAATACACAAGATATGCAACACGCTTTATTATAAAACGCACTTAATGTTACATCATTTTGCCCAGGTGTAGGCTGGGCCCCCAAAAAAAGTGTTCGGAGGAGGCGAGGCTAAGCTATGATCTTGGATAAGGTTAAGTTCATTTACGACGCGACAGTTTACTGGTGTAACTTTCCAGTAAGTGGAGGAGCCTCTGCACTTAGCACACAGCCTCGTGCCATGTCTGCAATTGCTGCAGCTCACTGGAACTGTCTGAGCTAAATGAATTCCCGAGGAACTTTTTAAAAGCTTCAATGCGTCCCTCATCCCCACCCCGCACCCCCAAAGCCCTGGATTCAATTGCTCTGGAGTAGGTCCCCAAGTGCCAGAGTATTTATTTACAGGGCCTCAGCACAGCAATCAGCAACCACCGGCAAGCTTAGGTTCGTCCCCACATTGGCGTCTGAGCTCGTTTTGAATGCGTTCTGCCAACTGTCACATTGGTGGACTCCACTCCGCAGGCCTCCCCTTTGGGCCGCACTTGACCTCGCTAAGCCTCAAAGATATGCAACAGATTTATTATGCGTGTATGGAGGGAGAAGGGGAAATCAGCAGTGCTTGGAAGGTAGCGAAGCATGGTTGCAGTTTCCTGGCGTGCGGAGAGGCAAAGTCAGCTCTGGGGAACCCGGGAGAGCAGAAGCTGAGGCCGGTCACACGTAGTCTAGCACGCAACCATGACGCCACGCCCCGCCATCAGCTGGGGCCTGGATTAAAAAGGTCTTTCAGGTTCGCCCTTAGGTCCCATGAGAGAGGGGGTATTGGGCGGTGGGCGGGGACGCAAAGCGGAAGCAAAAGGGTAACGAGAGAGCTGGAACGCTCGGTTGAGGCACCGCTGGGATTCGAACCCAGGATCTCCTGTTTACTAGACAGGCGCTTTAACCAACTAAGCCACGGCGCCGCCCGTGTAAGCAGCGCGAGAAACTATTCCCCATCTCTAGTCACTCCATGAGCCACGCGCGTGCGCAGAGGCTTTTTGATTTTTGAGTTTTAGGCGGCGAGGAGGCTGGATGCCGGCGCATGCGTGGCGTACGTGCTTGCTGGCCTCAGAGAACGCGATCTCCACTTGGCGCGTGGGGCCTGGGCGGGCCTGGTTTCCCGGTGCCGGTAGCGTCTCCTCGACGGAAACCGGATACCTGCCTGTACCTTTGTGGGGTCCTCGTTCAAGGTCTGCGCTTTTTGCTCGCCAGGCGTGGCGCAGGGGAGCCCCTGAAGGCTCCGGAGAACCCACGACCCGACTGCGCAGCGGGGCTGCTGGCTCGGCCCTCGGGGCACCCTGGGAACCCCGGCCCCACCAGCACCGCGCCCTCAGCCGGAGCCGGCCGCCGGCCCTGCCAGCCCCCGGGGGCCCCATAACTTCATTTGGGCCGCTTCTTCCTGAGTCAGGGTAGCATCGCAGGGTACTCAGGGGACCCTGAGCTATCACAGCACCCAGATAGGGCAAGTAGGAGTCCTCCCACCCAGGCTCCCCTCTTGCTCCCCCGGGGTCTCCGCCCCCAGGCATACCAGCTACTTGTCCCAGCACTTTTCGGAGGGCTTTTGGGTAACACAAACGCGTGGAAGAGTCAGCCGCAGAACTGTTGAGTCTGTACAAAAATATGAGCACGGGAAGGCTCGCTCTAGTCTTTTTCGTAATACCAACCTAGGTGCCCATCGGTAGGGGCAGTGTTCATAAATGCTGTCTAGCTGTCCTCCACAGCCACAGTGATGACTACGTCTGTAGTGTCTTCACGTGTTGGAAGGCCTCAGAACATCTGCAAGGAGGGAGGCCTCTTGCTGGGAAGGTGTAAGTGGAGTTTTGACAAGTTCATAATAAGTCGTTGTAAATAAGTGAATAAATACTAAGCAGCCAATTTTAATCTAAGCAATAACCCCACACACACCCTCCCACCCTTGTGACTCACAGGGAAGGCACTAAACATGGGGCCTCCCTAAATGATTCTCAGATTATTGTGCTAATGCACAAAATCTTTGGATGCCAAACAATGGACACTGTAAATCAGTCCTGCAATCAAGTTTCTAAAATGGAGCACAGAATATATTAATGATATTGTTCAAAAAAATCATGTGAAATTCACCAAATGGAACAGGAGAATCTTCACATTTTTTAACTGAAAAGTCTTTCTGGATCAATGTTCTACAATATGCAGTGGAAGCAGGAAGACCGCTGCACATATGCATGGGCATTCTGGAAATTCAAAAGTCTGGGGCAGAGAGCATGAAACATACTGTGGTAGAAATACCACCACCACCTCTTGCATATTCAGACCTTCCTCTGCTCTAGGCAGATGGCCATCTGGGAGCATTAGCCAGTGTCTTAGTTGGTTTTGTGTTACTACAACAAAATACCTGAGTCTGGGTACTTTATAGAGAAAAAATATTTATTGAGCTCATGGTTCTAGAGGCAGGAAAGTTCAAGATCATGCAGTGACATCTGATTAGTGCTTCATATGGTCATAACATGGCAGGTGGCATCACATGACAGGAGCACATGTAAGAACAGCAAGTAGCACATGTAGAAGAAACCAAACACAGGGGTGGCCTAACTTTATAACAATCTGCTCTTGAAGTAGCAAATTCAGTCCCCTGATATCTAACCCACTTCCAAGAAGCAGGTATTGATGTGTCCGCCATTGGGGACCAAGCTTCCAGGATATGAACTCTTAGGGAACAAATCATAGTCAAACCATATAAGCCACAATGCCTTGCCATCCTCAATCACAGAGGGGGGACCCCCACACATCTTCATGTTCATTTGACAAACCCATCCTCGGGAAATGGTGATACCAGTCCCAGAGGCCCAAGACTCCAGAATAGGAGTCCATAACGCATCCCCAAAATGAGACAGAATGAACACCAGGATGTTAAGCTTAGAAATAGCAAACTGCTTCTACAATTCATATGCACACTTGTTTTCCAAAGGAATCTAGATTTATTCTGCATGGAAACTGAAGTGTTCAACCCTCAAGGATGCTGTGGAGCTGAGGAGGTGGCCCTGCACTGAGAGCCCAGCCAGGGATTGGCCCCTACCCCAGTCTCACAGGCCCACTCAGGTGGGGAGGGACCCTGAGAAGGATCCCTGCAGAGAGCCCCACAACCTGGGTGACAGGTGACCCATGATCAAGTCAATGAAAGGGCCCAGTGGCCATCAGTCCTCCTTGTTCTCTGTTTCTGATGATGATGAAGCTGCTGCTGGCAAGTCCATCGCATCTCTCCGGCAGAAGATACATTTGGTGACTATTTCAAACGAGCTGTCACTTTCCAAGGTGGAAAATGGCCTGTCACATCCTTCGCACTGACATGAAATATTTTAAGAGCAGAAAGGAGGTGCTGGTCAGAAAAGATCAGGGCATTAAGTTGGAATCCTCCCCCCATCATCTGACTACTTTGGACTGGGCTGAAGTAAGGGCTCCCCTCTCAGGAGCCTCTAACCTCAGAGTAGAATCCACCCTACTGAGTGAACCCACATGGGCTTCTGCTCTCCCCCAACCCCACCTCCAAGCTAAGCAGATGCTGCCAGCTCAGGTCCCCTCCTGTGAGGGCCCTGAGGGCAGGAATGGCAAGCCCTGGGCAGCCGGGATGACAGGGCAGGTGTCCAAGCCTGTCTGGTGCTCTGTGCAGAGCAGAATTGTGGGAAAAGGGGGATGTCCTACCTCCCTGACATGCTAGGGAACACCCGACTTTTACCAAACCACAAGAGGTAAGCAGACAAGATTGCTGAATAAAACAGGGATTTCGACTAGATTGACATAGGTGCTGAGCACACTCTTCTATCCTGAGCCTTTGTCTGACCAAAACATGTAGAATGGTGGATACAGATGGCACAGCTCACCACATCAACTGCAGCCTACTAAGGAGTGAGCAGTGCCAAGCAAGGGTGGGGGACTCTTAAGGCCACAGCAGAGGCCAATCAGCCGTTCCCACCCCAGCACAGACCCCTTGGGACAGGCTTGCACAATGGCATTCCCCTGTCCTGGCACTCCAAGCCCCTGTGCTTTTGCCTCCTTTGCCCACACTCTGGCCAGCTGGAGGGACTTGACAGACCCTGCCTGGGGCAGGCCTTTTGGGAAATCTGCCCTCTGAGGTTTCTCCTGTTGATTCAGAGCAAGTCAAGTGCAGTGGCTTCATCTTTGCTACAGCTTCAGGTAGGTCTCTTTCTTCTTTCTTTTGCAAGAAAGATATTTGATCCTTTACCTACCTTCTTCAGCAGCTCCAGGTCTCATGGAACAGTCTCCGTGGGTCCAACCCCAAAACAACAAGGCTCCCAGAGGAGGAAGCTCCAGGGCAAGTTGGTAAGGGACAGAGACAATCGGTGCTTTGTGGCTAGTCAGCTTCCAGGGTCTAAGGACTAACATGGTCACAGAGGCCTTGAGGACTAGCTGGCCACAAAGACAAGGTCCATGTGGGTCCCGTCTCTCACCTCCCTGCCCTGCAACACTGCTCACAGATTAGCACAGTCCCAGAAGCAGTACAAGAACTTTTTTTTTTTTGTACTGGAATTGAACACAGGGTTGCTTTATATATACGAACTATATCCCCAGCCCTTTTAATTTTTTTTATTTCTTTTTTTTTTTGAAACAGGGTTCACTAAATTGCTTAGGGTCTTGCTAAATTACTGAGGCTGGCCTTGAATTTGCAACCCTTCTGCCTCAGCTTCCTGAATTGCTGGGATTATAGGTGTGTGCCACCCCGTCTGCCACCCACTCTGCCAGCCAGAACTTCCGAGGGCTTGGTGGTAGAGGGGCACATCTTCTGCCTCTGTGGCTGGACCTTGAGGAGCTGGGTGAAGCAAAACATGGGCCCACCCTACTACCAAGCACTTGCACTAGAGAAACATGGGTTCCTGAGCCTGTTGCATGGAAAACAGAGAACTGGGGCCCAACCAGTTTCTGCGGCTAGAACATAGAAGGCTTACACAGTCCAGCTGTGTGTCCACCATTTCTCCACTGACCAGAACTCCCCCGGGTCCCATCTCCTCCAGGCCCTCTCATTCACTCCACTCCACCTGCCTCAGGGGCCCTGCACTGGCTGTCCCCACTGCTGGGGAATCCTTCCCCTAAATATCTGCCCAGCTCTCTCCTTTAACACCATCCAGTCTGCACATGTGTCACCTTCTCAGAGACCCCCACCTTTTGAAATATTGCAACTCCAAGCACTCCCATTGTCCTTTCCTCTGTTATTGATCTTAGAATTATTGATCATTATGTGACTTACTGCATATTTTTCTTGTGTCTTTATACCTTGTCTCCTCTTTTAGAATTTAAGCTCCACAAGGCAAGAAATTCACTCTGTTTGTCCACAGTTATTCCCCAGTTGCCCAATACATGTTAGCTCAAAGAATAAATTAAACTGTACAGGGTTAATAAACATCTTCACTGAGCTTAATTTTACCCAATACCCACCTGTTTCACTAGAGTCCCCATAGCCTTTTGGTTCTCAATTACCAAAGGAACTTGGTCGATCTTTTCAATATTCCATAGTCTCATGGTCCTATCCTAAAACAGGTTAAACAGTAAACCAGCTGTCACAAAAAAAAAAAAAAAAAGACTGTGGTACATCCTTACAATGGAATATCATTCAATGGCCAAAAGAAATATGCTGTCAAGCCACAAAAAGACACAGAGGAAACTTAAATGCACATTATTAAGCCAAAGAAGCTATTCTGAAAAGGCTACAGACTACATAATTCCAATGATATGATATTCTGGGAAAGGGAAAACTATAGACAGTAAAAAGAGCAGTGCTTTTCAGGAGTTCTGGGGAAGAGGAGGAAAGATTTTTAGGGCAGTAAAACCATTCCACATGCTACCCAGTAGTGGGTACATGGCATGCACTTGGCAAAACCCATAGACTGTACAACACAGAGTGAAACAATATAAACTATGAACTCTAGTTAACAATTCCAGAAAGGAATGCAGTCTTGTTGACACCTTGATTTTAGTCCAGTGAAACTTTGTTGGACTTCTATCCTATGGAATGTTAAGACATTAAATTTGTGTTGTTTCATGTTTAAACAGTGCCATCTGTGGTAATTTTTTATTGCAGCAATTTAAAAAAAAAACTAATAAACTGAATAATGTTACAGTTCCTAAGTCAACAGTCGCAACTAAATGTCTTACAGAGAAACAATGGGAAATTTAGGGAACAGGCGTGTTGGCCCCTTGCAGTGCAGAGTTGTCAGTTTTTACCAACAATCACAGTTTCCGCATATCAAATGGTTTGTCAAATCAGGGCAACAAAGAAAAAGAAATGTTCCCCATAGTTCCTAGATACTTTGATTCCAAAGTCAGAGTTTCAGATTCTCTCCTGGATTTCCATAAAGATTATTTTACTTTATTTTTTGGTATTGGGGATTGAACTCAGGGGCAGTTACCACTTTACCATTGAACTACATCCCAGTCCTTTTTATTTCGAGGCAGGGTCTAAGTTGCAGAGGCTGGTCTCCAACTTGTGATCCCCCTGCCTCAACCTCCTGAGTCACTGGGATTATAGGGATTTGTCACAGTGCCTGACTTTTATGAAGGTGTTAATGAATCTGCAAAAAAACATTTTTAAAAAGCCTGCTGATATTGGGCTGGGATTGTGGCTCAGTGGTAGAGCACTCGCCTAGCATGGGCGGGACCCAGGTTTGATTCTCAGCACCACATAAAAATAAAGGCATTGTGTTGTGTCCATCTTCACCTAAAAAATAAATATATTTATAAAAAAAGTCAATCAGGGTAAATAATAAAATATTTTAAAAAGAAAAAAAAGCATGCTGATATTTATCTAAACACAAACTAGGCTTTACTCACTTATCTACATATTCAGCAGAAAGTGAAAATGTAAACTTTGGCAAACTCCATTCATTCTATAAACTTTTAATGAAAGTAAATGAAAAGCTAATGTCCAGCACACCTTGCATCACACATTCCTAAAAAGGAGTACAATTTATTTACCTATAATGTTGGGTCTTTCATAGTAAGAGTTTGGGGTACTTTTCACCTTCCTCAATCTGTATGAAGTACTAAGTTGATTTTAGAAATGGAAGGAGACATCTCCTTTAAACATGTGCCTACCACTTGGCTATTATTATTTCTAGCTATCAAAAGAAGTTTAAGTGATGAGTTGCTGCAAAAATCATATTTTTAAGGTATAGAAAAAGACGAATGTTACATAATTTTGAAATACATCAAGGATGATAACAGAGAAAAGAATAACCATAACACAAATTTATTTACTAGTTTTCTAAAACTATTTGGTGATCTTTGAAGAGGCCATCATGAGTCAAAAAAAAAAAAGTGATTGCACCTGAGTTGTTCAATGTTAGTGCAGCTTATGACAAAAATTATATGGTGTAAAGTTGCTCATTTTCTGAAAAATACTATAATTTATTTGGAATCCAACTAATATATCACAAGTTCAAATTACCTCTGTGCTTTAAAACAATTTTCCCTGAGAAAGCAAGATCTAAATTATGATGTCATCCAATGTGCTTCAGAATGTTTAAAAATAATGGACATTTTACATGGGTGCAGTCTGCATGATGAAAATCTGAGGGCAAAGGATCTGGATGACAAATATCTGGTCTATTAAAACAAGCCTGTAAACTAAGTACAGTTGGATGTTTTTGGAGAGCTGAAAAGTAATTCCTACAAAGCTAAAAACCTGATGTTGCTAGTAAGAAATTTCTAAGTATTCCATGTATAATCCTTTTGTTGGGAGAATATTTAGCTTTATGTTCTGGGCTGACCTAGGAATTGCTATCATGTGAACTTGATAAGAACAGAGCTGCAAGAATTTTGTTTGACAGGTTTCAGCTTCACCTTTTCATAAAAGAAAAGTATGTCCTAGCTGGGCACGGTGGTACGTATCTATAATCCCAGTGATTTGGGAGGCTGAGGCAGGAGGATTGCAATTTTGAGACCAGACTCAGCAATTTAACAAGGTCCTAAGCAACTTAGGGTAGAGTGTCCCTGGGTTCAACCAGAAGGAGGAGGAGAAGGAGGCAGAGGGTGGGGAAAAGGAGGAGGGGGACCTAAAGAATCAGGCAGTTCAAAAAAGTATGAAAAAAGAAAAGTAAAAAATATCCTGCTATATTATGGTCAAAAAGAAATATGTCATTGTTAGGTTTATTATGGTAAAACATATAAAACATTATCATTTCAGTCATTCATACAGTTCAGTGACATTTAAATACATTCACCAAGTTGTGTTACCATCACCACTATGATCTCAGGTTTTTTATCATTCCTAATAGAAACTCCACTATCAATAATAACTTCCCTTCACCACTCCCTCCAGCCCAGGAAAACACCATTCTACCTTTCTTTATGAATGTAACAACTCTACGTCCCTCGTGTAGGTGCATTTATACAGTATCTATCCTTTGCAACTGGCTTAGTTCATTTAGCATAATGTCTTCAAGGTCCATCAAGGTTGTAGTATGTCAGAACTTCCTTCCTTTAATGGTCAAATAATATTCTATTTTATGTATATGTCACATTTTGCTCATCCATCATTCCTTCTACCTTTTAGCTACAGTCAATAATGCAGCTATGAACATGGGTATACAAGTATCTTCTTGAGTCCCTGCTTTCATGATTTTGGGTATATACCCTGCAGTGGAATCGACAGGTCCTGTGGTAGTTTAGTTCTACATCTGACCTTTTGAGAAACTACCAAACTGTTTTCCATAGCAGGGACACTACTTTACATTCCCACTGGCAAATGCACAAGGGTTCCAGTTTCTCCACATGCTTTCCAACACTCCACATGCTGTCCACTGTGGTTTTGACTTAGATTTCCCTAAGGACCACTGATGTTGAGCACGTTTTCATGTGCTTATTGGTCAGCAGTTTAATCTTCTTTGAAGGAATGTCTATTCGAGTCCTCTGCCTATTTTTGGATTGGGTTTTTTGTTGTTGTTGTTGGGCTTTAGAAGTTCTTTATATACTATGGACATGAATCCTTAAGAGATACATGATTGGCAAATATTCTCTCTTCTCTCTGTAGGTTGTTTTTTTTTTTTTTTTTTTTTTGCTGTCTTGATAGTATCTATTGACATAAAAGTTCTTTGATAAAGTCCAACATATTTGTGTGTGTGTGTGTGTGTGTGTGTCTCTTGTGAAACTGTTGCCAAACCCAGTATCATGAAGATTTTCTCGAATGTTTTCTTTTAAGAGTTTTGTAGTTTTAGTTCTCAAGTTTAATTCATTTTGAGTTAATTTTTATACAGTTGTCCCTTCATATCCACAGGGCATTGGTTCCAAGATTCCCCAAGAATACCAAAATCCATTGTTAACTGAATCCATGGATATAGAACTCAGGAAAATAGAGGGATGCCTGTATATGGTATAAGGTACAGGTTCAATTTCATTATTTGGATGAGGATATCCAGTTTTCCTAGCACCATGTTATTTACTAGTTTTCTAAAACTATTTGATGATTTTTGAAGAGGCCATCATGAGTCAAAAAAAAAAAAAAGTGATTGCACCATGTTGAAAAGACTGCTTTTTCTCCCAAAATCAATTGAACAAATAAGTTAGGGTTTATTTTTTGATTTGCTATTCTATCTATCTATATGCCTGTCCTATGTCAGTACCATATATTTTTGTTTGTTTATTTTGGTACTAGGGATTGAACCCAGGGGCACTTAACCACTGAGTCACATCCTCAGCCCTTTATAATTTTTTTTTTTTTAATTTTGAGACAGGGTCTTGCTAAGTTGCTTTGGCCCTTGCTAAATTGCTAAGGTTGACTTGCAATCCTCCTGCCCCAGCCTCCAAAGCAGTTGGGATTATAAGCATGCACCACTGCACCCAGCTCAGTACCACAAATTTTTAAAAATATTTTTTAGTTGTCAATGGATTTTTATTTATTTATATGTGATGCTGAGTATGGAACCCAGTTCCTCACACATGCTAGGCAAGTGCTCTACCACTGAGCCACAACCCCAGCCCGGTACCATACTTTTAATTACTGTAAATCTGTGGTTAATACTGAAGTCAAAGAAGAGTGAGTCGTGCACCTTTTTCCTCTTTTTTTCCTCCACCTCCTCCTTCTTCATTCCCTAGGACCCTTCAACTCCTTAAGAACTTGAAGATTGGCTTTGCCATTTTTGTGAAAACAGCTGTTAGAACTTTGATAGGGGTTGTTTGGGATCTATAAATCACTTTGGGGACTGACTTCTTAAAAATGGGAAGTCTTCCTATTTATGAATGTAGGATGTCTTTCCATTTATTTAGGTCTTCCTTAATTTGTTTCAGCTTTCTGAGGCCTTTTTAAAATCATAGATGGGTTTTGGATTTTTCAAATGCCTTTTCTGTGTCAATTGAGATGATCAGGTGTGGTTTCCCCCCTTGTTCTATTAATGTTGTATATTATATTAATTGTATTTAATTAAATTTATATTGAAGTACCGTTGTATTCCTAGGAATGGTAAATAATGGTTTTATTTGCTAATATTTTGCTTCTGTTTTCATAAGGGATATTGATCTGTAATTTTCCTGTGATATATTTATCTTGTTTTAGTATCAAAGTAATGCTGGCCTCGTAGAATTTAGTTTTATATTAGTATCTGTTTAATCAGTTTAGTTACATTTATGTTCTCTTTTTTTCAAAAGTCTTACATCTTACATCTATATCTTTTAAAATATACAATAATATAGCCTACAAATGCAGCTGTAATTTTCTCTTCTTGTGATATTTTCATTGGACTTTGGTATCAGAATAATGCTGGCTTCACAGAATGAGGTCTTTTTTTAATATTAAAAGTAAGCAGTGTCTGTTCAACTAGTGCTGTTGTATTTGATTCTCTTTTTAAAATAATGATATATCTATGTATTTTAAGAATATATATTGCCAGGTATGGTGTTGCATGCCTATAGCAGCTCTGGAGGCTGAGACAGGACAATTGTAAGTTCAAAGCCAGCCTCAGCAAAAGTGAGGCTCTAAGCAACTCAGTGAGACCTTGTCTCTAAATAAAATACAAAATAAGGCTGGGGATATGGCTCAGTAGTTAAGTGCCCCTGAGTTCAATCCCCATTACCCAAAAATAAATAAATAAATATTATAAATATTATATATATATATAAATAAATATTTATAAATAATAAAATGGGCTAGGAATGTGGCTCAGTGGTTAAGTGCCCCTGATTAAATACAGTATCAAAAATTAATTAATTTAATTTAATTAATAAAAAATAAAATGGGCTGGGAATGTGGCTCAGTAGTTAAGTGCCACTGGGTTTAATCCCTGGTACAAAAAAAATTTACACAAACACATATATTGTTATATATATATTATACATATATCATTACATATGTATAATATATACAATATATTATTATAAATATATATAACATATATTATATAATAATATATAATAATATATTATATATATATATTAATATATCCACAAATTTTAAATATCCAATAAAGATTTTTTTTAAATCACAGTAAATTGCTCTTCCTGGGGATAGGAGGAAACATTATAAAATATTTTTATATTTTTAAGCATATTTGTTAAATTAGCCCTACTGTTAATTACTACTAGTTGCCATTATTAACTAATCCTGTTGTTATAACAGAAAAGTTAAAAAATAATAATAATACAAAATAAAAATTTTAAGTAAACACTCGGTTTTTTCTATCTTTATATTAATGTAATAACATAATGACATACTTTTGTTTGTTTGTTTGTTTTGGGTACCAGGGATTGAACTCAGGGGCACTTAACCACTGAGCCATATCCCTAGCCCTATTTTGTATTTTATTTAGAGACAGGGTCTCATGAGTTGCTAAGCACCTCACTTTTGCTGAGGCTGGCTTTGAACTTGTGAACCTCCTGTCTCCCTGTCTCACTGGGATTACAGACGTGCACCAACGAACCCAGCAGCATACAATTTTTTTTTTTTACTTGTAGATGGACACGATGCCTTTATTTATTTATTTATTTTTATGTGGTACTGAGGACTGAACCCAGTACCTCACATGTGCTAGTCAAGTGCTCTACCACTGAGCCACAACCCCAGCCCCTATGATTTTTATTACATATTGTATTATTATATGCTTTTAATCTGGAGTGTCTGTAGCCAAGGTTGACTCTCTAAAATGTTGGTAATGTTAGGCAGAGTCTTCCTCATAGTTTCGTAGACCTAGAGATCTCTAGCACAGAAAATTCTTGGATAAAGGTTGAGGGCCCTAACTCCTCTATACTCCCACCGGGAGGACAGCCCTTGGGATATCCAGAACTAGCTGTGATGTGCCAATGGAATGGGAATCGCAAGATGCAGTGATGTAGATAGAAGGGAGGGAAGACCCACCTGCTTGTCCATGAGCTGCTGCTGCCCTCCAAGGCCCTTGCTGTCTTCATCACTTACCAGCAACACTCAACACTTTATCACTTTCTCCAACAACAATCAAATGTCGATGACACAGACACAGAAATACCTGGAAAGTCTCCACATTTGCAGATGGTAGGACTTACTTTCCACATTCCCAGGCTACTCCTGGAAGCAGACATCAGACTGAGCCTGCCCAGGAATTTTATGCTTGGGAATAGCACTCCTGCTGTCACCAATTCTCATAAACATGGTAGGCATTTTAAGTCACTCAAAGCTTGGCCACTTTTACCTTCGAAGCAGATAGGATCCATTTCTTGTTGTTGCTGATAGCAACATCCATTACCCAGTCCTCATGGCCCTGAAGAAAAATAAAATTTTACCAAAGACCTAGGAAAAATGCCCTTATAAGAACAATAAAAACAAACCCAGGAACCCAATGTTGCTTATGTTTAAGAGCAACTAATTGTACTTCCCTGGTTTCATCAACATTCAAGGTGGAACACAAACTATAAAGACATGTGATATGTAAGTATATCATGGCACTGTATATGGTTTTTTTTGTTTTTTTTTTAATTTTTTATTGTTGGTTGTTCAAAACATTACATGTTACTGTATATGTTTTTTAAAAGTAGTTCTATAGTGTTTAGTAGGATGGAAGGAAATTAAAGGTTGTATACCCATCCGGTCCTGGGTTTTTGTTTGCATTCTTTGTTCTAGGAGACACTACTTGGAGCTTTTGGCTGTAAGAAACTACAATCTGATTCACTGCAGCTTTAGCAAATGGTCAGTTGTTTTCCCCAGGTAAAAAAGGAGCTCAGAGAGATAGATGCCACTGCTTCATGATGCTGGGATTCTGTGTCAGCACCTTTATTATACTTTGGCCTTTCTTTTATGGAAAGAGGTAAAAGTTGAGGCAATAGGGCATAGTAGGAGGCAAAGGAACAGGAAAAGTTAAATCATTGTGTATAACAGGGTTAAGGAATAGCAAGAGAGAAGAGAGAGACTAGAACAACCTGATAGTGGACAAAATGATTTTTAAGCATTCAATTTTATGCTATTTATTTGTTGTAAATGTAAACTCCCTCTGCCTCCCCAAACCCTAGGAGGAGAGAGCTCAGAAAGACCAGCCCCAGAAGCCTGGACATGTGCTGCTCAAGGTGACACAGTATACATTGGGTTTCCGGGGACACAGAGATGAAGAATCATTGGCGCAAGCATCTACAACCAAAGGTGACTATGAGATTGTGAGATCAGGGAGTATGCAGAAACCACGGGGCATGGGACCTCTGGAACAGGGGCACAGAATGAACCAATCCTGGATTCTTGTTGTGTCGGATGACATATACCTAATTACAAAGCCATTTTGAGTTAGGCCTCCCCTAACTTTCAGCCAAAAATACTCAGTAAATGTTCCTCATTTTGGAACCCCATAGCTTTCAATGCATGCCTCATTATGGAATTCATCCCTCTGCATAGTAACTTCTATTCTTCTTAGAAACTTTCCAATCCCTTGGGTTTATATTTACTCTTCCATCTGCATAGAATGTCCTTCCTCAATATCCTTATTTACCCAGACCCTCCATGCCACGCAATTCTCTGATCAAGTATCTCCTCTGGGACATTCTCCGTGCTAAGCCACTGATGGTTAAACCCCAGAGCCTGTTTCTATCACGTCACCTTGTTGTGGTTTCCCCATTCTATTCATTACTGTTGGTGATTCTCTTGGTGGTTTCTTGTCTGTCCTTCCCCACAGATGAGTCAGCTCCATTTGGAGGCACCTAAGACTGTCTCACTGCTGTAGCCCCAGCCTCTAGCACCCAGCATGGAATGACTAAGGAATGAAGCTCACAGTCTCTCTCTAATGCTGGCACTTGTACCTTCAAGGATAGCTTCCGGTAGCCTTCTCCTACATCCCAAATAGCCACAGACTTGTCGAACCCTCCAGAAATGAGAAAAGAGTCTGCAACACAAAATGAGAGTTTGGGTGGGAGATTATCTTCCCTAGCCAAGTGTGTCCTCCTCTGATGAGGCCAAAGCAGGCTGAGAATGCATTTGTTAGGCACCACCATGGTTCACTCTGATGACAATAAAATCCCCTCCTGGTGTGGCTTAATGATCTCCAGCCAATTACAATCAGAGTCAACTCTTTTTTTTTTTTTTTTTTTTTTTACCAGGGATTGAACTCAGGGGCACTCGACCACTGAGCCACATGCCCAGCCCTATTTTGTATTATATTTAGAGACAGGGCCGTTGTTGGGCTGGCTTTGAATTCGCGATCCTCCTGCCTCAGCCTCCAGAGCCACTGGGATTACAGGCTTGCACCACTGTGCCCGGCTACAGCAAACTCTTGTTATTCACTGCAGCTACATTTTATGAAGTTATTACAAACACTGAATTAGCAAATATTGAACCATTGCTCCTAGAGGAAATACAGGGTTGGGATCCTACAAGCCTCTGGTCACAACATCTTCATCAATCAATCAATGTATAACTTTATTTAAGAGCTTTCTGTATGAAGACACCTTATTGTATTCATATAACACACACACACACACACACACACACACATATATGGTTGACTGATTAACATTGAACTCAACCAACAGAACTGTAACTCATGCCTAATGAAGCATATATAACACTTTTTCTGTATAAGATACATTCTTGTACGTTGGAACATGAGGCAACACTTCAAATCTGAGCTTGGGAGACATTTTAAACATCAAAATTACTTGCAAAAGATACCAAAAGGCCAAAAAAAAAAAAAAAATGACACTCAATAGGCCATAAAAGGACACTGCACTATGAGCTGCACCAAGGAGTCAGAACATCACATTGTTCATATTCAAATTTCTCACTGCTCTGCACATGTCTGAGTGACCTCAAAAGGGTACTGATTTTAGGGTCACATATAAATTTTAGTGACTAGGTAAATTTGAAAATAACAGAATCTGAAATAATAACAATTTAATGTATGTGATTCTGAACTTAATAAACCAAGGACAGAGCTGGTGGGGCACCTCCTAGTAGGAGTCTGACTTAGACACAGGATGCTTCTGAAGAGGGAAAGTTGTTCAGAAGTTTCTAGAATTTCCCAAGCCAGACCCTGATTGTGTGTACCCTGGCTAGACCCCTTGCCAGCCCCACAGACACACAGAGCAAGCCCACTTCTTATTAGGATTGAGGAGTACACATTTGGCCCCTGGTTCTAGCCCCAGTTGTACTTTCCTCACCCATGGCAGCTTCCTGTCATTGTCCTGGTTCATGTTCTTGTCCCCTCACCTGACAGCAGCTTCCCAGGTTCTTATGGGAAAACACCCCTAACCAACTCTGAGTCTGTAGTTCGGAGAGTATAATCTCTAGCTCTGGGGATAGACAAGTCCCCCAGATCTGGCCAATCACAGTCTTTCATCTCCTGATAAATGACTGGTTCAGAGATGGGCGTGTATCCCAAGCTGAGCCAATGGGAATCTTCCTTAGGATTTGTGTGTGTGTGTGTGTGTGTGTGTGTGTGTGTGTGTGTGGAGAGAGAGAGAGAGAGAGAGAGAGAGAGAGAGAGAGAGAGAGAGAGAGATAGCATTGTAGCCTCCTGGAGAGAAAAGACCAATACAAGAGGGAAACAGAGTTGAGAGACAGTGGAGGTACTGGATTCCTAATAGTATTGTTTGAGTCTCTGAACCCAGCCATGCCTGAAGTCAGACCTACTTCTGGACTTTTCATTACAGGACTTGGTAAGCTTCTGTTGTCTGGGCCACCTTGGACTGAATTTCTGGCATTTATAAACTTGGGCCTATGAATGTTTTTGTCCTCATGAGGAGGGAGGAAAAACTCCACCCTCACTGCTAGAATCATTAGAAATCACTTCTCTGGCTGGGTACAATGAAGCATGGCTGTAATCCCAGCCGCTCAGGAGCCTGAGGCAGCAGGATCTCAAGTTCAAGACCAGCCTCAGCAACACAGTGAGACCCTAAGCAACTCAGCAAAACCCTTATCTCAAAAAGGGGTGGGGGGGGAGTGGCTGGGGATATGGCTCAGTGGTTAAGTGACCCTGAGCTCAACCAAAAAAAAAAAAAAAGGAAATCAGTTCTCCTTCTGTATTCAGGAAAGTCCACATGAGTGGAACATGAAGAATTTTGCCCAGCACACAGAACAGAGTCCTCTGTGTATTAATTACTCACTGTCTCTGGCAAAGCAGCAGGAGCTCACACAACCTTCGTGGCCCTGCATTAGAGTCACACAGGCTCCACGGTTTCGAAACTCCCCTGTATGGACATTCCATATTTTTAATTTTTTATCCCAGGAGCTGGAACACAGGAAATGGCCACTGAAGGTAAAACAGCAGTTGGAGATTGCATTTTCATGTGCCCTGAAACAGATGAGGCAAATGTTTGCTCTGGGAGGACCTGAAAACATACATAAAGGGGGAGGGGACATTGGAGGGGACACCATCATTCATCTCCTGAGCAAATGGATGTCATTCCTTTAATCACCGTCTACCATGATCCAGATAGGAATTTGTCAGACTGTGTCACCCTACTCTAAGGCTATTTAACCATGCTAATATGAACACTTTGTGCTGGATAATTCTTTGTTGTAGAGGCCTATCCTATGTATTATAGGGTGTTTAGCAACATCTCTGGCCTCTCTACCAACTAGATGCCAGTTGCTCCCTGTTGGGGTAAACACTAGTCAGTGTCTGAGAAAGTTTGTTGCTCAGCTTATTTTTAAAATGGACATGTTTCTTGCTCTTCCTCTCTCCCTGCTCTTCCCTAATCTCTACCCCTCCCTAAAATCAGGGGAAACTGGATTACCTCTGTTCCCCATCCTAGGCAGAGTTATCTGTCCCTGAGTACACACCCACCACAGGAATGAAGTAATGCAGACTTTGGGGATGGTACCTGAAGGTCTCAGAAATGACTTTTCCCAAATTAACAAGTAAATTACAATTCCAACAGAGAACACAAGGAAATGAACCCTTTGAATCACCTCTTTAAACGCCCCCTTTGGGACAGGAGACCCCAGTGTTTCTCCTTTGCTAGCACAGCAATAAACCTTCTTTTTCCTTTTTCTAAATAAAACAACAAAAATAGTTTGTTGTTCAGCAGTGAAATAAGGACTCTAAAGAATGTGACAATGAAGAAGATGGAGCCGGGAAGCTGTCTCTTATCTTCAGGTGTGGATCAAAGTAGAGTGACCTTGGTGTAAAGTGAAAGAATGTGCTTGTAAAACATCTGAAGAACTCCCCCTGTGCAGTGGGCAGCATCCTATCCCATAAATTCCCTCTGGTGGAGGCAGGGTGTGGCCCTCCTTTGTAACCCAGCCTTTCACTGCCAGGAGTGAGTGACTAATAAAATGTCAAAACCCTCTCCCTGAGTCTTCCAAGTTCTTTCTTTGGGACTGGAGAACAGAATACCAGGGCCTTTGCAGCCCTGGAGTTGAACCCCTTTATAACAGCCAAAAACGTGTCCAAACATTGCCAATGTCCACTGAGGAACAAAACTGCCCCCAGTTGAGAAGCAATGGAATATTCAAGAGCTTCATATGGTTTGAGAAAAAAGAAGCTGGAAAGTCATCAGTAGTAGCTAGTTGTCTTTCAAATTTGGATTGAATTCACAAAGAGGTCTTCTCCCACTCCTTCCTCTCCCTGGTATCCAGCCTTGGCTCCTTCTCCTCCATCCCACCTCATCTCCCCTGTCCCACTCCTCTCCTATTTACTCTCCCCTTTTTTTCTTTCTCTTATCAGTCTTCAGTGCCATTAAATCATATTTTAATTTTGTATATTTAATAAAGTTTTGAGTCATTCATTCTCTCTCTCTCTCTCTCTCTCTCTCTTTTAAGGTAACAGGGCTTATTGAACCCAAGAGCACTTAACCTCTGAGCCACATCCCCAGCCCTTTTTAAATTTTTTATTTTTATTTTGAGACAGGACTTCCTAAGTTGCTGGGGCTGGCTTTGAACTTGCAATCCTCCTGCCTCAGCTTCCCAAATTCCTAGGATTAGAGGCGTGCACCACCACTCCTGGATTGTTGTCAACTTTAAATCTCTTCTTTTCTTGAAAGAAAAAATATCTGTCAGAATTTGATCACCTTTTGTTTAGTTTGTGGTCCTCAAAGTATTTTCCCTATGACTCTCATTTTCTCTTAGAAACAGTTTTCAATTGGACCTTAAAAGTGTGTATCTCTGGGGCTGAGGCTGTGCTCAGTGATAAAGTGCTTGCCTTACATGTGTGAGGCACTGGGTTCAATCCTCAATACCACATAAAAATAAAGATACTGTGTGTTCATCTACAACTAAAATATATATATATATATATATATATATATATATATATATATATATATATTTTTTTTTTTTTTTTTTAAGTGTGTATCTCTGAGCAGCCATGATTATAAAAATCAATCATTTCACCTGACGAAAGAGTTGAACTAACTGTTTTCTACAGCTCAGGCCAAGTTTCATGCCCTGTTTCAGCTCATTGCAATGCACACTGAGCAAGTTCACAGGAGAAGAAATGTCAACTCCCCAGGGGTGTCCAGGGTAAACCTCTCCAAAACCCATGGCCTGGTGGGCTAAGAACCATCCTAGCATATACCAAGGTAGACAACAGGCACTTTCCAGAATGCTGACACTCACTGGGGTGTAAACCAGGACTATCTCTTCCTATTTTCCAGGATGGATTCTAATTTCAAATAAATTTCAATACTCACTAAAGACTGTTCTACTTGTACGAAAGTTTGCACTTATAGTGCACTTATGTACTAATGTTGCACTTATAGTTCCAGACAAGATAGGAGTCTTGTTCTCCCTAAAGCCTGTTCTCCGCTTCTCCCTACTCATCCTGCTAAGTACATCTAATAACCCTGGATAGTACTTATAAAATAGATGCTAAAACTACGGAAGCTGAGTGCAGTGGTGCATAACTGCAACCCCAGCTACTTGGGAGGCTGAAGCAGGAGGATTGCAAATTTGAGGCCAATCTGGGCAATTTAGTTCTACCTGTCTCAAAATAAAAAAATAAAAAGGGCTGGGGATGTAGCTTAGTGGTAGAGCAGCCCTGGGCTCCATCCCCAGTACCACATACAAATAATAAGTAAATAAAAATTAAAAATAAAAAGGGCTGGGACTATAGTTCTATAGCTCAGTGTTCTAATGCCCCTGGGTTCAATCCCTAGCAAGAATGGGGGACAGCTGTTGGGGCAGAGAGAAGAAGAAGAGTATAGAAGACAGACAAAAGAGACAGACCAGCTAAGTATCTTGGGCCCTAAGGACAGGATGCTATGAGTAATTTGGGATTTCTTTTTGTGTCACATATTGCCGCAGTACGGCTGCAGCAAAATAACCTGGGGGTGACGAACAACTTGTGTACGTTGATACAGCAAGGAGAGGGAGCCGTTTATTGCAGGACAGGAGCAGTATTTATACATTCCACACAGCTTATCTAATTAGCATAAACTAGATACATCAGTCAACCAATAAGGAATCTCCACACTTAATGGCTCGCTGGTGTTACTTCACAAACCACTCCCTCTGGCATTTTGCCAGGCACCATCCAGACTTGTTTACAGACTCTAACAACATATCTTGGACTAGGTGCTGGAAAACAACAATAACAATGTATGCAAGCAAATTTAAAATTTTTTTTTAAGTTTTCAGCGGACACAACATCTTTGTTTGTATGTGGTGCTGAGGATCGAACACGGGCCGCACTCATGCCAGGCGAGCTTGCTACCGCTTGAGCCACATCCCCAGCCCCAAATTTAAAAATTTTTAAAAAGCCCCCAAGAAAAGCCTATTTTCCCTGGCCAAAGGGCCAAGAAGGGACAGACTAGCAAGACAGAAAACTTATGATAGTGACTGCCCCACTTCAGCTAAACACCTCAGGAAAATCTGCAGCCCCACCTGACTCATGTCAGCAAAAGCTAAATAGGGAGCCAAGATTGCCATCCTGTCAGGCTGTAACAAGGTGACATGCTCAAACACAAGGTTTCAATCAGACTCCAAGTCTCATAATACCCCAAACATCAAGATTCAAATGAAAATCCTTCATCTTATGGGAGTGAGAAATATAATCAACAAATGCCATTCTCTGAGATGACAGAGATAGTAGAATCATCTGACCAGGATTTTTAAGCAGCCATCATAAAAGTGCTCAGAGGGACAATTATTATAATCATGGGCTTGAAAAAAACACAAAGAGAAAAACTTCAGTGGTATAGGATTGGGGATGTAGCTCAGTGGTACAGTGCTTGCCTGGTTTATGCAAAGCCCTGGGTTTGATTCCCCAGCAGCGTACACACACACACACAATATATATATATATATATGAAAAATATAAAATTTTAGAAATGAAAAATACAGTAACTGAAATAAAAAATTAACTGGATTGCCTAACAGTATAATTGAGAAAAGAATTAATGAAATGAAACCAAAACAACATAAATTATCCAATCCAAAAAAAACAGAAAAAATAGACTGGAAAATAAAGAACAGAGCCTCAGACACCTAGAGGACTATAACAAAAGATCTAACCTTTGTGTCATTAAAGAACTGAAGGAGGAGGCTGGGGGAAGCAGGGCTGAAAAAGAAAAAAAATAATGGCTGAAATATTACCAAATTGGGCAAAAGATATAAATCTACATATTCAAGATTCTGAATAAACCCCAAATAGGAGAAATCCAAAGAGATTCATACTCAGATATATCTGAAAACTAAAGATAAATTATCTGGCATAGGGTGTGGTGACACTCACCTATAATCTCAGCAACTACAGAGCTGAAGCAGGAGGATCCCAAGTTCAAAGCCAGCCTCAGCAACTCAGTGAGACCCTGTCTCAAAATAAAAAATAAAAATGGAGACTGGGACTATAGCTCAGTGGTACAGTGCTAGCCTGGCATGTGTGAGGCACTGGGTTCGATCCTCAGCACCACATAAAAATAAATAAATAAAATAATGGAATTGTGTCCATCTACGACTAAAAAAAAAAAGTCTTTTTAAAAATTTAAAAATAAAAATAGGGCTGGGGTTGTGTCTCAGTGGTAGAGCACTTGCCTAGCATATGTGAGGCCCTGGGTTCAATCCTTAGCACCACATAAAAATAAATAAATAAGGGCTGGGGTTGTGGCTCAAGCGGTAACGTGCTCGCCTGGCATGCGCGGGGCGCTGGGTTCGATCCTCAGCACCACATAAAAATAAAATAAAAAACAAATAACCCAATCAACAAATGGGCCAAGGATCTGTACAGACACTCCTCAGAGGAGGATATACAATCAATCAACAATTACACGAAAAAATGCTCACCATCTCTAGCAATCAGAGAAATGCAAATTAAAACCACTCTAAGATACCATCTCACTCCAGTTAGAATGGCAGCCATTATGAAGTCAAACAATAACAAGTGTTGGTGAGGATGTGGGGGAAAAGGTACATTGCTGGTGGGACTGCAAATTGGTGCAGCCAATTTGGAAAGCAGTATGGAGATTCCTTGGAAAGCTGGGAATGGAACCACCATTTGACCCAGCTATTCCCTTTCTCGGACTATACCCAAAAGACCTAAAAGAGCATACTACAGGGACACAGCTACATCAATGTTCTCAGCAGCACAATTCACAATAGCTAGACTGTGGAACCAACCTAGATGCCCTTCAATAGATGAATGGATAAAAAAAAAATGTGGCATTTATACACAATGGAATATTACTCGGCACTAAAAAATAACAAAATCATGGCATTTGCAGGGAAATGGATGACATTAGAGCAGATTATGCTAAGTGAAGTTAGCCAATCCCTAAAAAACAAGTGCCGAATGTCTTCTTTGATATAAGGGGGGTGACTCAAAATGGGGTAGGGAGGAAAAGCATGAGAAGAAAATTACCTCTAGATAGGGAAGAGAGGTAGGAGGGAAAGGGAGGGAGAAGGGGAATTGCACAGAAGATGGAAGGACACCTTCATCATTATATAAAATACATGTATGATGATGTGAGGGTTAAAAAAAAAAGAAATGTGTCACATTAGATTGGGTAGAGAGAAGTGATGGGAGGGGAGGGGGAGGGGGGATAGGAAGGGCAGCAGAATAAAATAGACACTAGTATTGCTGTATGTATATACATGTCTGTATAACCAATGGGATTCTGCAACCTGTACACTCAGAAAAATGAGAAATTATACCCATTTGATTCGAATGTATGATATGTCTAGATCTTGTATTGTCATGTGTAACTAATAAAAAAAAATGAAAAAAAGAGGTTGTGTCCACCGAAAACTAAAATAAATAAATATTTTTTAAAAATTCTCTCTCTCTTTAAAAATAAATAAATAAATAAAATAAAGATATGTGTCCAACTACAACTAAAAAAATAAATAAATATTTTAAAAATAAATAAATAAAAAATAAAAATGGCTGGGGCTCAGTGGTAAGAGCTCCCGTGGGTTCAACCCCCACTACACAAAAAGTAGAAAGATAAAATGAAGAAAAGAGAATGATCTTGAAAGTAACAAGAGAGAAATGACATCTTAAACAACATGACTGGTAGTGGATCTCTCATCAGAAGTCACAGAGGCCAGAAGAAAGTGACATGACAGTTTTTTAAGTTTAGAAAGAACTATTATCTGAGATTTCTAATCCAAAGAAAATATTCTACAGGAATGAAAGATACATCAAGACATCTTCAGATGAAGAAGAAAAAAGAGAACAGTTTGCTCACAGACTCACTATAAGAATTTCTCAAGAAACTTTTTCTACAGAGAAAGGAGATTTAAAAAAGGAAGCTTGAACTTCAGGAAGGAAGACAGAACACAGTAAGAAGATATGGGTAAACGCAGTAGACCTTTCTTCTCCTCTTGAGTTTTCCAAATTATGTTTGACAGTTTAAGCAAAAAAAAAGGTATAAAGTACTTATGTTTACTCCTTGCAAGCTCAAAATCATTTGAGATTATAAGTTTTCAAAATCCTCAGCAAGACCAGCTATATAATCTTCAGTGCCCAGAACAAAATTAAAAGGTAAAGTCCCATTTCCTCAAAAAGCTAAACATAGTATTACTATATGACCTAGCATTTCCACTCCCAAATATATAACCAGAAGAATTGAAAGTGGGGACTCAAATAGGTACTTATATTTCAGCATGCACTGCCACTTTATTCACAGTAGCTATAAAGTAGAAATAACCCAGGTATCCATCGACAGGTGAATAAACAAAACATGGTACACACACATATGATGAAATACTATTCAGTTATAAAAAGGAATGAAGATCTGTTACATGCTACAACACATATGAATCTTGAAGACATTATTTTAAGTGAAATAAGCCAGGACAAACATCCGATGATTCCCCTTAGGAGAAATATCTAGAATAGGCAAATTCACAAAGGCAGGAAGTAGAATAAAGTTTACCATGGGCTGGTGGGGGAGTGGGAGTGGGAAGTTATTGCTTAATGGATGCAGAGTTTCTGTTTGGGGTGATGAAATGGTTTTGGAAACAGACAGTGGTGAGAGTTACACAATATTGTGAATGTAATTAATCCAATGAACTGTGCACTTAAAAATGGTTAAAATGTCAAGTTTCATGTTGGATGTCTTTTACCATAATTAATGATAATGTCATTATCAAAACTACTGAAATTTCCCAAAACTACTGAATTCGTTTTAAATGGGCTAATTGTATAGTATGAGAGGAAGGGACCTGGGAAAGAAAGAAGAGGGGAAAGCATTGACTTCTGGGAGGGAAACTGAATGGCTGTAAGACGTAAGAGATTTTCCACTCTACTGTATATCCTTTTGTACCTTTTTAATTTTATACTGTTTCATGTTTCACATTTTTATAAAAATAAGTTACATATTTTTGAAATAAAAACATGCAAAGTCCTGTGTTCAGAAATGATTAAGAATTTAAAGATGCCAATAGCAGAGCTGGAAATCATGCATGGGGTCCTTCTAAGGCCCTGATGGGTGGCTCTGAGGCCCCTTGCCTCTCTATTTTGCTAAAGACTACATTTCCAGAGATCATAAATTTAAGGTACTTCAAAACTACCAGTAGATATTGTATTTATTTCCCTTTCCCACCACTGTGCCCACTGGGGCAAGAGAATGGAGCAGATTGGGATGCTTGACCACAGCTGGAACTGGGTCACCTCTGCTGCCTCAGCCGCTTCAATGCCACCACAGAGCAGTTCTAAGGAGCAGTGCAGAGGAGAGCCTTCCCTGGGCGGACCTCTAAGTAACAGAGCACATGCTGAGGGCCCATGGTGAGGCCCGCAGAGTGCTCAAAATCTTTTCCTCCACTATCTTATTCAGACCTCACCTCTGCTGTTTCAGGTGAGAAAACCGAGGCTCAAGATTACACAGGATGGGAACCTACACCAGATCTCCATGGGAAGCTGACTCAGGCAGAGTGACGGGTGCATACATTTTCTGGGATCCTAACTTCAGGATCCTGCAAAGGACTTGTCCCATCTAGAAGTAACAGGGCCTCCTGCAAATGGACTTGTCCCATCTAGCAGTAACAACCTGCATGACCCTTAAGGCCCTAAATTATCAGATCTTCCCATTTTACAAGAGATGCAAGAAAGTCACTTTTTCTTTTTTTAAATTTTTTGGTTACTAGGGATTGAACCCAGGGGCACTCAACAACTGAGCCACATTCCCAGCCCCTTTTATTTATTTATATGTTTTGGTACCAGGGATTGAACCTAGGGGTGCTCAACCACTGAGCCATAATACCAGCCCTTTTTCTTTTTTGAGACAGGGTCTTGCCAAGTTGCTGAGGGCCTTACTAAACTGCTGAGGCTAGTTTTGAACTTGGTGATCCTCCTGCCTCAGCCTCCAGAGACTCTGGGATTACAGGCATGTACCACCATGCCCCGCAAAAAGTCACATTTTTATGGGGGCTCTGCACAAGGTTTTTCAGTGTGGGCTTGCGTTGAAATAAATGCTGCTGAGGCCCAGCACAGCGCACAAGCCACAGGTGGTGGTTTCTCTGTGGCCTGCCCTGTCTCTCTCTCTAGCCTCCTTGGAGCACCCATGACCACAATGGAGATGCCTCCATAGGGACACTGGATTGTGTGTGGAATCCAGGAGGGCATGAAGGGAGATGTCCTGCCCGCCTTCCAGCTGCAGGGTGCTGCCTGCCTCCCACTGACCCTTCTCACTTTGTGATGGTAAGCAGTGTGGCTTTGGATGTGACATCCCAGATCTTGATGGACCTATCCAACGAGACAGAAGCCAACTTCTGGCTATCAGGGTCAAAGCAGCATGCCATGATTGATCTTCTGTGATGATCTGTGGCACAGGAAGAGTGACTTGTCACCATGAGGTCCACATACTGGGTTACATGCTTTATATGGTCTAGAGGACTCACAAGACTCCCCCCCCCCGCCCCCCAGCAACTTTATGGAAACACACTTCTAGTTTTCTTAAGGGACAATTCAGCTAACCAGACCTTTCCTGAATGCCTACTATGTGCAAGGTTTTGAACAGTGAGACTAGTTGGTCTACTCTTGCTGCCCCCACAGAGCTCTCAATCTGATAGGAACTACCTGCTACATGCTGAGGATCTTGAGAGCACTTCACGGTACATCACAGCTCCTGGCCTCAAGAGGTCAAAAAGGGATTGATCCCCTCCGGGGATCAAAAAGAGTCCTAAAAGTCATCAAGGGAAGCAGGCAAGGACAAGTGCTCCAGACAGAAGGAACAGCACATGCAAAGGCCTGAAGAGTGGGGTGCATGGGGAAGTGAGGTGCCCAGTTAGAACCTGGAGTGTGAGGAAGCTGGGCAGGATGGCGCATGCCTGTGAATCCAGCAGCTGTGGAGGCTGAGGCAGGAGAACCACAAGTTCAAGGTTAACCTCAACAACTTAGTGAGACCCTGCCTCAAAATAAAAAATAAAAATGACTGGGATATAGCTCAGTGGTAAAACACGCTGTGTTCAATCCCCACTACCACAATACCTAAATAAAAAGGAAGCACAAGGAAAGATAGAATGTGAAGTGATTCATGAAGGGAAAAATACAATCTGTGGGGTGGCACACATATCATGGTAACATGATGATAAAAATAAATAAAAATAAACATAAAGGATCTATGGGAAGTAGATACACATACCACCCCCCCAACACACACATATTCAGGAAAACTACCTGGCAATGTATTGCTAATAATAGATCACTGTGGGCTAGGGTGTGGTTCAGTGGTACAGTGCTTGTCTAGCATGTGTATGGCCCTGGGTTCCATTCCCAGCACCACAGAAAATAGTAATAATAATAATAGGTTATATTATTGTTGTATAATATATAATCATAATAATGGATTATTATATAGTAATAGATAATAGATAATTATCATAATCTGGGGAAGAGATAGGACAGGTGAAGCCACCTTTCATCTTTTATTTTACATGCTGAATTTGTTTTTACAATTATCATATATTTTTTAACTTTTTATTTTGAAATAACTGCAAATCTCCTTCTAGGCACAAGGAATAATAGAGAAATCCTTGTATGCCCTTCACCCAACTTACCCCCACACTTATACCTTACATCACCATATTACAGTGTCACATTCAGGAAATTGACATACAGTGATGATTTTTTAAAACTTTTTTTTTATAGTTGTAGATGGACACATTATCTTTATTTTTATTTGTTTATTTTTATGTGGTGCTGGGGACCAAACCCAGGGCCTCACGCATGTGAGGCAAGAGCTCTACCACTGAGCTACAACCCCAGCCCTGATGATTATTTTTAAATTGTAAAAATACAGGTGGAAATGTTAAGAAAGTCAAGCCTCCACTCAATAAAAAGTTAGACTTTCAATATCCACGTGAGGTTGAGCAAAATGTTTCATTTGCTACAAGCATGAGACAGAAAGGAAAGCATTTATTAAAGACTTGGTTTTAACTGCTTTTCTTAGTGGGCATCCCACTTTACTTATATGGCTTTTTTCATAATAGTTCTGCCAAATAAACCACTGGAAAGTCACTACCCATCAAGTGACAAGCAATTGTTCCTGTAACAGACAGAATGAGCAGGGAGCTGTGCAACCTCACCTTTAATGTTTGCCAAAATGGTGGTGTTTTCCGCATCCATTATGCAGATTCCACGATCCACATCCAAGCTTAAGGCCACATATTTGCCGTTAGGAGACAACTTACAGGACACTATGAAGTAATCATGGTTGGTCTGCCACTGAAAAGAAGAATAACTGAAAAGTTGTTTTCCCTTTCTCTCTGACCCAGGTCTGCCCGGTAGGACTTTCTGTGATGATGGACTGTTCTGTCCTTGAACCATCCAACATGGCAGCCACTGGCCACATATGGTCACTGAGTACTTGTAATGGGCTAGTGAGAAGAAAAGAACTGAATGTTTAAGTTTGCTTTTAATTCATTAAGTCAATAATATCTGTGTCCAGGAGGGACACAGAGAATACCTAGAGATATGGCAGCAAGGTTGTAGCAATGGCAACTTTCTTCCTATTCAGTTGGGTAAACAAGACTTTACTAAATGTCTGCCTTATACACAGACAAGACCAAAAAAAAAAAAACCCAGCCCTCCCCAACCCGACACCCAAGGGCAAGAAGGGGACAATGAATGGACTGCTCAACAATGTAGGAAAGGAGGATCTCTCTATACATCATAAATTATAGTATTGTTATTGTGATAGCTTTAGAATTTTCCTCAAACTCTTCATCAGTCCTCCCTCCAACGGGTGGAATAAAAGAGCCCTCCTCTTGAATGTTGCTTCTAAAGAGTAAAATGTGGCAGAAAGGACAATGTGGTATTAGGTTATAAAAAAAAAAATCAAGGGACTGGGGTATAGCTCAGTGGTAGAGCAATGTTTGGCTTTTTCAAGGGCCTGAGTTTAATCCCCCAAAATTAAAAATAAAAATGAAAAAAAAATCATGGCTTACTCCTTGTTCTTTCTTGGCTCATGTACTCTGTGGGAGTTAACTGTCATGTCCATATGTCTCCCTGGGGGTCCACGTTGAGATGAACTGAGGCCTCCTGCCAACAGCCATGTGAGTGAGCCATCTTGGAAGGAGTCCCTTTAGCCCCAGTGGAGCCTTAAAATGACTGTAGCCCCAAGAGAAATTTCTACTGTGACTTTACAAAATACCTGAGCCAGAACCACCCAGTTAAGCTGCTCCTAGATTTCCTATGAGAGATATAAATGTTGCTGTTCAAAGCTGCTAAGTTTCAGAGTCATTTATCAAGCAGCAGTAGATAACTAGTTGAGCTTCACCGTTGGCAAAAGGCATGGATGACTTGTGCAACAAAAATAAATAGAAGTACTTTTAAAGAAGAAAGAGAAAAGCACTTCAAGTAGGAAAACTGGCTAGAGACAAGAATAATAGGAAACTTACAACAGAAGAAATAAACATGTAGGAAAATATTCAAAGTAAAGAAAAATCAGTGCAAGTCTTGCTTTTCAGCTATCATATGGACTAGAATTTTGTTTAAATCATGATATCTAGCATGTGAGAGTAGGAGATGGTGTATTCCTCTTGAGCACCTAGGGTATGAGTTGGCATAAATTTCTCAAAGGCATTTTTTTACAACTCTATGCTTTTTATTTTTTTATTTTCTTTTTATTTTTTTTTTTCTTGAGTTGGCACTGCCTACCATGTACTTTGGATATTAACTCCTTGTCATATATCTGGTTTGGGAATCTATTCTCCCACTCTGCTGACTTTTCACTCTTATATTCTTTGCTAAGCAGGACCTTTGAGTTATGACTTAGTCCTGCTTGTCTATTTCTGTATTGTGGCTCATGCTTTTGGTATCATGTTAAAGACCACTTATCAAAAGTCCCCTACAGGCCTATGTATCAAATGTCTGGTCTCCCAGTGATGCAACTGGATGGTGGTGAGACCCTTGGAAGAGTTCAAGTATAGGTCTGTAGGTCAATGGGCATGCCCATTAGATTGTGTAACCCAACTGTGCTCTCTATTTGCTTCCTGGTTTAAGGTGTGACCATTTTCTTGCACACATGGTCCTGCCAGGGTGTGCCATAATTCAGAGCCCTCTCCAGAACTGAGCAAGAAAGGCACTGTGCAGTTCAACACTAAAAACTGAGGTACATGAGTCCTTTTTCTTTATAAATTGTTTTATTCAGGTATTTTGTGGTACAATGTGCAACTAACTAATGTATGTCATTTCCCAGAAATCATTGTCAATATCATTGCTATTAAAATATTCAAGTATGGTTTTTTGTACCAGTTTTAGTTTCATTTCTTGCACATCATTTTTTTTTTCTTAAAGTTACTGAATTTGTATTTTATTTATATCTCTACATTAATGCTTCAATGACATCAATTCTATAATTAGTGGGTTTGACTATTCTATTTGCATACTTGCATATATCAGGCTTTGATTGAACACACTTCTTCTGATGCCTTTATTCTCTCTCTCTCTCTCTCTCTCTCTCTCTCTCTCTCTCTCTCTCTCTCTCTTTATTTCTCATCCCATTGTTTTTTGTTTTTTTTTAATTTTTTATTGTTGGTTGTCCAAAACATTACAAATTTCTTGGCATATCATATTCCACACTTTGATTCAAGTGGGTTATGAACTCCCACCATCACCCCATACACAGATTGCAGAATCACATCAGTTACACATCCATTGATTTACATATTGCCATACTAGTGTCTGTTGTGCTCCGCTGCCTTTCCCATCCTCCCCCCTCCCCCCTCCCCACCTCTCCCCTCCCCTCCCCTCCTCTCTCTCTACCCCCTCCACTGTATAACCCTGAGGGTCTCCTTCCATTTCCATGCAATTTCCCTTCTCTCTCCCTTTCCCTCCCACCTCTCATCCCTGTTAAATGTTAATCTTCTTCTCCTGCTCTTCGTCCCTACTCTGATCATAGTTACTCTACTTATATCAAAGAAGACATTTGGCATTTGATTTTTAGGGATTGGCTAGCTTCACTTAGCATAATCTGCTCTAATGCCATCCATTTCCCTGCAAATTCTATGATTTTGTCATTTTTTAATGCAGAGTAATACTCCATTGTGTATAAATGCCACATTTTTTTTATCCATTCGTCTATTGAAGGGCATCTAGGTTGGTTCCACAGTCTTGCTATTGTGAACTGTGCTGCTATGAACATCGATGTAGCAGTGTCCCTGTAGCATGCTCTTTTTAGGTCTTTAGGGAATAGACCAAGAAGGGGAATAGCTGGGTCAAATGGTGGCTCCATTCCCAGCTTTCCAAGAAATCTCCATACTGCTTTCCAAATTGGCTGCACCAATCTGCAGTCCCACCAGCAATGTACAAGTGTACCCTTTTCCCCACATCCTCGCCAGCACTTGTTGTTGTTTGACTTCATAATGGCTGCCAATCTTACTGGAGTGAGATGGTATCTTAGGGTGGTTTTGATTTGCATTTCTCTGACAGCTAGAGATGTTGAGCATTTTTTCATGTACTTGTTGATTGACTGTATGTCCTCCTCTGAGAAGTGTCTGTTCAGGTCCTTGGCCCATTTGTTGATTGGGTTGTTTGTTCTCTTATTGTCTAATTTTTTGAGTTCTTTGTATACTCTGGATATTAGGGCTCTATCGGAAGTGTGAGGAGTAAAGATTTGTTCCCAGGGTGTAGGCTCCCTATTTACCTCTCTTATTGTTTCTTTTGCTGAGAAAAAGCTTTTTAGTTTGAGTAAGTCCCATTTGTTGATTCTAGTTATTAACTTTTGTGCTATGGGTGTCCTATTGAGGAATTTGGAGCCCGACCCCACCGAATGTAGATCGTAGCCAACTTTTTCTTCTATCAGACGGCGTGTCTCTGATTTGATATCAAGCTCCTTGATCCATTTTGAATTCACTTTTGTGCATGGCGAGAGAAAGGGATTCAGTTTCATTTTGTTGCATATGGATTTCCAGTTTTCCCAGCACCATTTGTTGAAGATGCTATCCTTCCTCCATTGCATGCTTTTAGCCCCTTTATCAAATATAAGATAGTTGTAGTTTTGTGGATTGGTTTCTGTGTCCTCTATTCTGTGCCATTGGTCCACCTGCCTGTTTTGGTACCAGTACCATGCTGTTTTTGTTACTATTGCTCTGCAGTATAGTTTGAAGTCTGGTATCGCTATACCGCCTGATTCACACTTCCTGCTTAGCATTGTTTTTGCTATTCTGGGTCTTTTATTTTTCCATATGAATTTCATGATTGCTTTCTCTATTTCTACAAGAAATGCCGTTGGGATTTTGATTGGCATTGCATTAAACCTATAGAGAACTTTTGGTAATATCGCCATTTTGATGATGTTAGTTCTGCCTATCCATGAACAGGGTATATTTTTCCATCTTCTAAGATCTTCTTCTATTTCTCTCTTTAGGGTTCTGTAGTTTTCATTGTATAAGTCTTTACCTCTTTTGTTAGGTTGATTCCCAAGTATTTTATTTTTTTTGAAGATATTGTGAATGGAGTGGTTGTCCTCATTTCCATTTCAGAGGATTTGTCGCTGATATACAGGAATGCCTTTGATTTATGCGTGTTGATTTTATATCCTGCCACTTTGCTGAATTCATTTATTAGCTCTAATAGTTTCTTTGTAGAGCCTTTTGGGTCTGCTAGGTATAGAATCATATCATCTGCAAATAGTGATAATTTAAGTTCTTCTTTTCCTATTTTTATGCCTTTAATTTCTTTCGTCTGTCTAATTGCTCTGGCCAGTGTTTCGAGAACTATGTTGAACAGAAGTGGAGAGAGGGGGCATCCCTGTCTTGTTCCAGATTTTAGAGGGAATGCCTTCAGTTTTTCTCCATTCAGAATGATGCTAGCCTGAGGCTTAGCATAGATTGCTTTTACAATATTGAGGTATGTTCCTGTTATCCCTAGTTTTTCTAGAGTTTTGAACATAAAGGGATGCTGTACTTTGTCGAATGCTTTTTCCGCATCTATCGAGATGATCATATGGTTCTTATTTTTAAGTCTATTGATGTGGTGAATAACATTTATTGATTTCCATATATTGAACCAGCCTTGCATCCCAGGGATGAATCCTACTTGATCATGGTGCACAATTTTTTTGATATGTTTTTGTATCCGATTCGCCAGAATTTTATTGAGGATTTTTGCATCTAGGTTCATTAGAGATATTGGTCTGTAGTTTTCTTTCTTTGAAGTGTCTTTGTCTGGTTTAGGTATCAGGGTGATGTTGGCCTCATAGAATGAATTTGGAAGTTCTCCCT